CTCGCCACTGTGCCTGAGCGGGGCCGGGCGTGAGCTGCTGCGGTGTCAGCGCGGTTTTGTACGTTAAGGAAACGAGCGATTTGGAAGGCGACGGTGGTTTTGCTCTGAAGGACCGAGGTTTTTCTGCAAGCATGAGATCAAGCCACACCTACCTGTAGTGCTCGTTTAATCGTTTCTTTTCATTACTAGGATATAAACGGCTGGGAGATCCAGAAGCAAAACTGCACGTGGCTCATGGTGACACATGAAACATGCACCAAAGATGATGTGGTAAGAGGACAATATGATACAACTTTTATATTTATTTAATGCAGTGTTGCTAATGTCATGGAAAACATGTCATGTAAAATATAAAGAAATTTTTAGGGCATTTATTCCTGTTACTGGGGTGAATTGACACTCATTTTGCTGCTTTATTCAGTAATTCCAGAAGCAACCAAAATGAATTCCTCTGTTTCTATTAAATGTAGACATGTTCAGGTAGGCATGCCGGTGAGCCTGTTCCTTTTCTATGTAATAACTCCTTCAAGACAGTTAAAACTGTTTTGTGTTAAAAAAAGTGGCTTGAATTTAAAACTGGCTTGAGCCCAGCTGGCTGTGCTGACAGCCTTTCATTTACAGACACCTGAAACTAGTGTGACAGTGAATCTCTTACACTGCATTTTTAGTATATTAAAATCCCCTGAAATTTAAAAGAAGATATATATGGTGGGGGTTATTTTAGTATGCTTTTGAAATAGCCTGCTCTCTGCATACATCTCTTTGCTTTGTCTGTGCCAAAAAAGAAGCGGTTACAAGGTTAAAATTCTCTCACTCCATTCACAGCTCGCTTTACCATATGCAGACATTCTCACACATGCACAAAAAAGCATCCAAAGTATTTGTCTTTGTTAGTCTTTGTTCTGGCAAAGCAGAGTTTGCTGAATTTCCATCCGCAAATTTCAGGCTGAGGAGGACACAGTGGGCTGCCGCTGACCCTTGTGAGAGGAAATGCTCTGACTTTCTCTGTTCCCTTTAAACAGGGAGACAGGATTTTTTTTTTTAATGCATGAATTGCAAATGCAAGAAAAATGTCTTTGATTAATTTTTAAATTATTCTACTGTATGATAAAGCTTTGCTAGTGCCATATTTAGGAAACGAGAAGGGAAGTCGGGAACTCGTATGCTGCGTGTTGTGCTTTTGTCTGTCGGATCATTTGACTTCACTGCACGTATCAGCCTCAACAGCACAGCCAGGGCTGCGTTCGGCGGTGCTGCCGCCGTCAGGCCTGCCACACAGCCAGTCCTTTTCTGCTTCCTGTCCCTTCAGCGATGGCTCCGTGTTTGGAATAGAGGGGCTTCATTTGTGTCAGCTTTTTTACATATCACTGACAGGTACTTCCTGTCATTTCACGTCAGCAATTAGACTTCGACTCTAAATTTAGAGGTGAGGGGCCTGATCCTGTTCCCACTGGGCGTTTTCCCGTCAGCTTCACTGGGAGCAAACCAGGGCCTCAGACTTCACACACTTAATAGACAATTACTTTCAGATGCAGTAAGATAATAAAAAGCCTTTACTGAAATATTTTGTTCCATTAATAAGCTTTTTGAGGAAACAAGCATTGTAAGACAGCTTTGGGGCACTGCTAACACGCATAGGCGATTTCAGTCAGTATGACTTCAGTTAGCTGTGTGCTCGCTGAAAAGCTGCCCCTAGAGTATCTGCTAAATTACTTACCCTTTTCAGAGAAATAGAAACCCTGACAAACACCCTCACCAATACCACACGCGCTGATCGCAGCTCATCATGCATTCTCTGCTACAGTACTTGTTCCAGAGACAAGCCTGTCCGGTTGGCTGCCAGCCACCGTGGGTGCCGATCGTTGTGCCGAGCAGGACACTATCGCTCGGGTGGCTAGAGCTGCATCTCGGACACGGGAAAGCACCCGGGAAGGGATCAGGGAAATGCGCCTGAGCAGGGGACGTGGGCGGCCGTGGCGGGAAAAAAAAACACACGGCGAATACCGCGGCCGCCTGTGCCTGGACGCCCGCTGGCCCAGTCCGGCCCAAGCAGACACCGCACCGCGCGGGGCCTCGGGAGGGTGCGCGGCCCCGTGCTGCGCTGCGGGGAGAAGCCCGGCAGCTCTGCCAAGCCCAGCGCTGGGCGACGCTGAGTTCACCTCGCTGGGGCACTGTCAGCACAGCTCCGTTCCAGCCCACGCAAATGCAAAGTAAGTTAGCTTTGGTACTTCTGTACTGCGCTGCAGTACAGATCCTTTCTGTTTCTTACCAGCTTTAGCACAGCTGTGGTTACTTGGGCATTTTGTAAAATCTGGCACACGAGTGTCAAACCTAGCTGTTCAGAAAGACCTGCTTTGAACTTAAAGTAAGAGCATTTATGGAGGAGATGCTGCATAAATACTTCAAAGACTTTTCAGTGTTTAAAGGAAAGGAGAGAGCGTTACTTCAGCAGTTTTCTTTTATGCCATCGTGTCTTAAAACAGCATGTGAATTTGATTATTTCCTGAAGATTTTTGTGGAATATTTTCGTTTTACAGGGAAGATGAGAAGGGCTAGACAAAACAACAAAGCATGGGAAAACAGCTGAAATTTCTCAAGTTAACATAGAAGAGGTTTTTTTAGTTAATTTTTAGTGCTGTGAATTAGGCAAGTGAAGGCAAACAAGAAGGGGGGCAAACAGTGCTTATGATTAAATAATCATACCAGGAAATAAGTAATATAACTGCCTCAGAGCGACCTTTCTGAATGGAATCGGCCCTTAAGATTTCCCTGCATAAAGACAGCATTGAAACATAGAGAAGCTGTAACAGTAAGCTGTGCACAATGTCATACAGCTTTCTCCACTTTCCAACCCAGGAAAAATTGCCACTAGGATCTCAGTCTTCTAGGAGAACTGAGGGGTCTGAAGGTAGTTTCTTGAATTTTATAATTATGAAGTTATGTCTTTTTTTTTTTTTCCTTCTTGTGGGTTTATGCCTCTAATTTCAACCTCTTAATTTTTTAATCTTTCTAACTCCCGTGCAGTAGGCTATGCATTATTATTTAACCTAAGAATAAAATGTGATCAAGTATGTTAAGCCATGAATTTAATCTGCTGAAAACTCAGAAAGTTTTCTGAAGTTGAGGAAGGTACTTCAGAAACTAAATGTCTTTTGATTTTAAAGAACGAAGACATTTTTTAGGGAAAAAACCCCAGCCAACTAAACAAAAAACCCCTGCTCCAGTTTCACCTGATGGCAGTAAAACAGCCCTCTTCCCCTGCTGTACTGACTGTATCGATCCGTTTGAATGTACAAAGAAATAAACAGGGAAGTGCAGGTTTTCAAGTTTTTAAGGTCTATCTTGCAATGAATTTCTATCAGACCTAATCAGTTTAGCAAACAGAATCATGGAAATCCATGGAATTTCTTTGTATTGTGAGCAATGCAAAATCAAAAGCTGCTGAATAAATCCAACTGTTTGGGACTCAATATGCTGCGATTTAATGCTTCACACTGACTAGCTATTATTTTTTGGGGTGTTTTTGTAGAAACAGTACACACTTGCACTATTATTATAAATATTTTGGTGTATTTTCCAGATGACAGCACTGGAGAAAGCCACTGGTGACGTTGTGCTCAAGTTTGAACCATTTGTTCTTCATGTGCTATGTCAAGAGCTGCAAGACGCACAGCTTCTGGTAAAAATCACATCAAGTGACAACGTTAACCCGTTGTTCTGTTATATTCCTTGCTGTAAAAGTGTGGGCTCCTGAGTAAGCTTCACCACTTAAGAATAGTCCCAGATGTGCTGTACATTTAATAGCTAGGGCAGTAAAAGCACGCTGATGAAGAAAACACAGCTTTAAATTCAGCAGAGATTTTGCTGTACTTTTTAGAAAACAGAATTATCAGTGTTCAAGCTGAAGCAGGTTGCCTGGTACAGACTTTTCACAGTGAGCGTGGGCCGCTTTTGCCAGCTGAAAGTGATGGTTTTTCAGACATCATTTTGCTACTGGCCAGGCCATTCGGGTCCAGAGTTTCAGCTAATTGAGCAGTACCTTTGCCTCCTGCTTTTCCCGCGTGACTCCGGAGAGCAATGCACGATGGGTTTGTTCCGTCATTAATGCAGAAGAGTTGATTAGCTCCTCTTACAGTACTGCTGCACTTTGAGCTATAAATGTTGCACGACAGCCTGTATAGTTACCAGCTCTTCAAGGTAAAATAGCACAGTGCCCAGAGAGACATTCATGTCTCATCTGCACTAATGGGTTAAGATTAAACAATCAAGATTGACTGTGGTACTTTGAAAACCAGCCACAATTTGTGATACTATGTGCGTTTGATCTTAGAAACATTTTAATTTAATGTAACTATTATTGTATTAATTTAGGGAGATGGTTTTGAGTAAGGTGGGGTTTTTTTGCAAAACTGAGATTATAAACAGCATTGCAACCCATCCATAATTATTTCTTGCTCTGAAAGTGTATAACACCTGTTTAAGGCATTAATTTATTCTGCAGCATTCAGTGGCTATCGATTCTGGGTTCAGGAACTCTGGTATTACGGTTGGCAGAGGAGGAAAAATTATGATGGTAAGGAGTTTTCTACTTACTTTTAAGGAATTAACAAAATCGTATCATTATGGTTAACCTTCATTTTTTTTTCAACCCAAGATCTGAACTGTAATGTGATTGACAGCTGTCACAGGGCATGCTGTAGTAAAGAAATACCATTTTGCTTTAGTTGATAGCAGACTAATCAATTGTGTGGATAAGTGTTTTTTTCCTGTAAAGAACTCCCTGTATTATTTAAATAACCTTCATAAAATAAAAAACTTTATTCTAGATAAATCCCTCTCTGTGTGTTTTTTAGGCCGTCCGGAGCACTCATTGCTTAGAAGTTCCATTGAGCCACAAGGGGAAATTGATGGTCTCCGAAGAATATATTGAATTTCTGATACGTGTAGCTAATAGGAAAATGGAAGAAAACACAAGGAGGATTGACAGGTTTGTAAGGTTACACCAATCCTATTCATGACATCTAAACTCAAAAGTGAGGGGGACAAGGCAGGGAGGGGAACAGCCAAAACCAGTCTAAAATACCATTTTGATTACTTTTTTGAGCTCTGCAGACTATAAACTGTTTAAGCGAAAACCTGTAAACAATATGAGTTTGCCTACTGTCTTTGTTACTGAGTAGGGTTCAAGCTCCTCTTTCTAACGATAACAGCATTTGTATTCTAACACAGTAACCATTTCAGAAGTATTCAGATTGCAACGCACACTTAAATCCACTAAGTGCTTTGTACAGTTCCCAAAGCTCATGATTTTTGAAGGCAGTGGAAGGTTACACACACTTGGGTCTTTACGTCCGTCTCCAGCTGAGGAACAGAATAGGCAGAGGAGCCAAAGAGCACGAGGATCAAGAGGACACTGGAGAGGCACCGACACATACTAAGACCAGTTTCTTTTTATATGTCCATTGAAAATCTCTGTAGTTGTTAAAGTAATTGCTAATAGTAGCAGTCCATCTTCAGACATTTAACCTGATACCATTTTATAGTTCCTGTAAGATTAACAGGGTCTTAATGGCACGTGAGTACACCCACTAATTGATTTCCAACATACGAGCATGACAGAGAGAAGTGGCGTGGCACACCAAAGGACATGTGCTGATATTTCTATTTTTCTTCCAGTATAGGAACTAATTTTTCTTCCAGTATTCTTCCTAGAACATTTCCATGTTAGTAACAATTTTCTTCTCTTAGCACATTTTGATTATATTACAAAAGCATTAGTTTCTCAGAGTACATTTGCAGATCATAAGCAAACCTACAAAAATAGTAACTACACAATTGTTTGTTTCTAGATTCTACAAACACTTAGAGTTAGCTTTGGAAACTGCCATCAGCGCAAACAGCTCGCCACCTGAGGAGATGGAGAAGAATCGCCCTGTGTACGTTCACAGAAGAAAGAGAAAGACTGTTCGAGAACAAGATGTACACACCTCTCCAAAGGACCACAATGAAGAATCGGAGCCCGAGGACGATACAGAAAGCAACCTAGATATTTTTGCTGAAATCATGATATAGACTAAGGCATTTGAAAGCAAATGGCAAACTGAATTAATAATTATAATGCTCTTTGTAAGAGATACAAATACTGCACTGTTTTAAGTAGTAACACTCTCACGGACATTTACTAGGAAAAAAGATAATTAAACAGAATTGTGAACAGGTTTAATGCCAAAGAAGCACAGAAAACAAAACCATAGAATGTTTTGGGGTTTTTTTAACAGCACTGTTGAATTAACAAACTTATATTACTGTCTGTCAGTTATCACAGAAATAACTGGTTTGCTGCAGCCTTTGGCCACGTCTGTATGGAAGCATTTCACTTCCAAGTGCTGAGTTTAGCCCTTCTGATTTTTGTAGAGCAGAGAAACTCTAAAAACTGGGTTGTTATCCTTGAAGGTTTTTAATCCCTGTAGGTCCTCTGCAAAACAGTGTGCACCAAAATAGATGGCCCTTTCAAAACACCACAAAGCCACATACTAGTCAGCTGAAGAACAGCACCTGGTGTGGAGGGTAGGACAGAGAAGCAGAAGTTACGTACTGCTCTGTGCCAGCTTCAGCCGGCTGCGTCCAGGATCCTTCCCGGCTGTCGCGCCGGGCAACGAAGTCAATGCTGTTTTCCTGCATTTTACTGTGTTTCAGGCTCCAGCCACACTGTGTTCGTGTGTTCTGCTTCCCTTGGCCCGCAGCCATTAAATGTTAATTTTCTCTGCCTTGTTTAGCCGACTCTGTGTGCTCATCGTCCGTTAGCTCACTTACTTAGATCCTGTGTGGCCAGTGCCCAGCTTCCGTTCCAGCGGCTGGGCAGAAAGTCAACCGAAGTGTGCAGTAACGGGCTCTGAGCCACTGATGGGCAATAAATGTTAAATACAAAATGGTGCAATAATTTGTGCATATTCCTGTACTGTACTACTAGAAAAGTCACTCCATACTCATAGTATGTTTTTCAGAAAATTGGTGAATTTATAAACCTTAGCAACAATGAATTCTGAGCCCACCCTTTTATGACTGAGTGAGCACTAACACTGCAAAACAAGATCCCGACTGAAGGAAATAGTTTATTTGATGCAGTAACTCCCAGTTCATATAGGTCATTGTTTCCATTACATAAGCCTATGTCTTGGGGACATTTTAATTCTGTTTAATTTTAATACAGTTAATTTTACATTAACTAAAAATTTGACATACTAGGTGGCAGCCAAAGGGAAAAGTAATTGGGGACTTTAAATAGATTCTGAAAGATATGTTAGGCTGTGCTCCCAGTAGCAGGCATGCCAAAGCAAATAAATGTGAGCCTTTTGTGTTGCTTGTTTGTATTACTAACTTCCAGCTTGAACAGTTTGGTGCGCTTGCTTTCATCCTATTTCTGGTGGCTTGAAAGTCCTCAGCACTGGTTGAGGCATGGGAAGGTGAGAGGCCAGTACGTTTCTGTCCTTGCAAGAAGGTCGCAGTCATATCAAGTGAAAGGCCGGGCAGTTGATACTGTCCTTGGCTGTTGGCTGTGAGCACAAATAAAGCAAGTAGCAGAAAAATCAGGCTCTACTGTTTTCCTCCTTTGTGACAAGGGTGAGGCACCAATGACAAATTTTGAAGATTAAAGAACAACAGCTTGTGAGACAACCAAGTACGTAAGTTGTCGAAATACCACAACAAACCTTCAGAAGGTTGCTGCTCTCAAATCTCGGGTTTTTATTTGAGTGGACCTAATCCTTGTCTAATTCTAACTGAACCCCAGGGGATTGTTTCTAATGCTGAAGGCCTGCTTGCTGGGAGGCGTGTGGCAAGCGCCCAGCATCGCCTGGCGGCACCAGAGCATGTGCTGTGCACATGGTGGGGACACTACAGCAAAGCCGGAGCCCCACTGCCCCTGCGGCAGCGGGCAGGAGAACCCCAGCGACAGGCCACAGCGACCGCAGCTCCTCGGGGCGTGGGGAAGTGGCTTCTGCCGCACACGTTCCCAGAGCAGCACCGGGGCAGGGGCTCACTTCGGGCCTTCGCCACCGCAAGGCCTGGCAGCCCTCCCTCTCCGTTCCAAGGCACAGCGGTGCGAAGGCAGCCGAACCGCAGCCCCACAGCTTCAATCCACACACGGCAACACCTGCTCCAGCGCGGGGACAGGCCGGCTGCCCCAGCAAGACCCATCGGCTGGCTGTCCCCGACCCGTCCCTGCTGGCAGGGGTCCCACCGACCCCACAGGTCCTTCCTCACTGCCCCGGGGGCAGCTCCTGCATGTGGAGGAGGCAGCTGTTGCTTTTAAAAGTGGAGCGGGACAGGTGGGATTTCAGAGAGTTTGTTCAGATCAGTCCCAACAGGGTCTGGCCCCGAGCTGTTGGGAGTGACTGCAGGTGACCGTCGATGCTGTTAAGGAACGTGAGCCGTTCCCACAGGCTCTGCAGCACTGAGATCTTCCACCACACGTGGGAAGATGAAATTCAGCACTTAAAAAGCAGAGAGCCATCAGCCCCAGCCCAAAGAGGCCGTATTTTTAAGACAGAGGAGGCCTGTTGCAGCATTCAGAGAAGGTTAATGGTCAAGTACATACAGTCATGAATGCACCCGTGTGCGGCAGGAGAGGGATCACAGACACTAGTTCTGTGTATAAACCAGGACTTTGGTATGCTCTCGAGGGCAGAGCCATGGGGCTGTGTGTTGGGAGGAAAGGGTATCCAGTGCAACTACTTCATTTATGGGGAAGCTTGCTTCTTTCACTTTTTTTTTTTTTTTTATTTAAGTCGGTCCAAGCACACCAATAATGGCTCAGTGCTTTACACTATGTAACAGCATGTACAGGGTTTACATTCTTAGTAATACAGTTTGTCAGAAACTGATGTGTAATATGATCCCACGTTCCTCTTAAACACGATACCAAATTCAGGAAGATTTTTTGACAGTCTTAGCCTAGAAAGGTTACCCTAACTATTACCGTCTTGTTACTTTATACCTGTTAACTCCCATTACCGAAGACTGTTAGGAACCTCATACAAAAAAAAAAACAAAACAAGACCCTACAACAGGAACAATAAACAGTCGCCTGATTCTCAGTGAAAGATTCAGGAATCATGTTACTTCAGTGCTTAAAATATTGAGCAGTTTTTACATAGTTTTTCTGATTTTTTTTTAACCCCCCCTAAAGGTTTCAGTGGGCGATGCGGAGGTTGTGTTTCATCGTCCGGCAGCCGTGCAGGAAGGTGCAGAGCAGCAGCACCGCCCTGCTCCACACACCACCACCGGTACTTGCCCACATACCAGGGGGTAACCATGCTTTTCCCCAGTCTTACCCAAGTTTCACAAGTTCCTTTTGAGATTAATTTTGTCAAGCCGTGTTTTATTTCCAACTCCTGTAACTAATTCTGTCATGCTTTAAGTGCAATATTCAGCTGCAGACTACAGGCATCCCAGTGGACAGAGAGGCTACAGGCAACAGGAGGCAGCAGCTTTTGGAAAGGTAATTCTGGGGTTCACAGCAGAAGAAAAAAAATTACTGATAAGCAATAATATTCCTAAAATTGGCTAATCTTTACCATTTGCAAGTGTACTTAGCCACTTAATTAACGAAAGAGTATTTTCAGGCCAATTTTCATATTTGCTTTTGCTATGTTAAAGTACTGGAACATTTTAAATGACAATTTATTTGCTTCACATTCAATTGCTCTGGGGATGCAGGCTTTATTCATTCACTCTAGTAACTGATCCTCTTTTCTCACCCGTAACATTTAGCATCTGACCAGAAAATCACTTTAAGTTGCCATTCCTCAAATTAGAGCCAAAGCATTAGCCAGTTATGCTCGCCAACGGCAGCCAGCAGGCACTTCAGCACGAAAGTCACTTGACTGATTCCCCAAGATAATGCTTTACATGCAAATCACAGATGTCACAAGAGCCAGTATTTGCCTGAAAGGGCTTCTTCCTCTGAAACTGAAGTGCTTAAATCAGTTTACAAGAACATAACAGTAGCGGCATCAGATTGCAGCGGAAATCATTGTTTTCAAATGGAGTTAAAACTCTCAGGACAGGAGGGCTTATCAGTTCTCAGCCTCCTGTTAATGCTTTACTTGAATTTGTCTGAGTCTATTTAACAACATGCAATTGTATAGCATTTAGTCTCAAGTTTTCTAAATAACTTTGTACTATCAAATATACCATGCAGTGGAGTTTTAGGTGGTCTTTGGTACTTTTGGTTAGTGAAAATACACAATTACTTTGCAATAGCTTGTCAATTTGATTTTACATAATGTGATATTAAGGAGCATGTTTAATGCCTGATCTACCAACAGTTGAAAATGACACCAGTGCAGTATGCTGTGCATTTTTAAAAAGAATCTTTGAAAGGAAATTTGACTCCTTAAAAAAAAACAGATAATCATGTGCCTAAATCTTCCTAGCTGCCCGCTTAACTTGTTTACACCAAGAGAAAGTAAAGCCTGTAAGAATTACTGTCTTAAACCTGCCAGGTCTGGTGTGACAAGAGCAGCCAGCTATCTAGACATCGAGATCAGACTGTTATCTTCAGCTATTTTTTAAAAACAGAGAATATCTAAATTCCATATAGAAAGTCCACATAAGCTTTTATTCTGCTTTCTGAATGCGGTTTATTTATGGCAACTGAGCAGACACAATACTTCAGTCAATTTTATCCTGGGGAAAACAAAAACCACAAACAAACTTGTTTTGCTTTCATTTTTTGCATGACTCCGTGAAAAGAGAAATATTTTTCTTAAAACCAACTGAATTTTTATCAGAAAGAACATAATTCCTTTCTTCAAGTGACACTGTAATCAAGTTTTATAGTTACTGTAATTAGATTTTTCGAAGAAGAACCCCAAAAGCTGACGATCCGATGGCTTAACGGCTCAGCCTCGCCGGCTGTCCTGTCCTGTCCTGTCCTGTCCCGCCCTGTCCCGCCGCTCGCCCGCAGGCACTGGGGCGCGCACGGTCCCACGTCCAACAGCGGGACACGGTGCTGCAAGGTGCCAGAAACAGCCTGACCTGGGCGCGTGCGGCGGTGTCGGGGTGCACCG